ATTGGACAATAAATGTTACATTTTGTGGGCAGTTCAAGCTGAGTCAGAGAAATACAGGAAAGATGTTTCAAAAGACACGAAAGAATAGACTTAATATGTCTTAAATAATTTGTCCGTTATTGTTTATTGTGTGCAACAACGAAAATATAATATAAAATATTCCGCTACAAACACACACAAAGGATAATATAAAGTAAAATATTAAAATTTGCTCAAGATCATACGATACAGACAATGTATACACGTACATACGAATTTCAATTTTTCTAATAGGAAACTTGTTATCAATAATACTGAAAATTACTGTATAAATAACTAAATTATATATTTCATTAACTATATTAAAAACAATTATGAAAATTACGGTTACTATTAATATTATCAATTATTATAAACAGCATAAAAAACATTTTTGAATTATCACTAGTGGTATCAAAAACAAAACACTTCCATGTCACAAAATTGAGGAAGAGCGAGCATTATTTCAGTTATTCATGATATTATGTTATATTCTAATAACAATTTTCTGAGAATTGAATATGGTTAATATTAATAATATTGATATCGGTTTCTGAGGGTCATAAAAACTGAAATATAATTGACCTTTGAATAACGCAGGAATTAGACACAGATATTCCATATAGTCAAAAATCAACATATAATCTCTGACTCCAAAAATAGATGTTAATAATCTATCGTTGACTTAACATCTTTATTTTGAATACTATTTTTATAATGAAATAAATTCAAGAAAAGAAAATGTTACTAAGTGGTTAAAAAAAAGAAAATTGTCGTGGTTTCTTACACAAACTAGCATACCTTCATTGGAAATTCCTACTACCTTCAATATTGACTAAGAAAAAAAGCCCGCGTATAACCGAATCCGTGTTGTTCAACTTTTGAAATAGTTATGAGTAATAAAAGTTTCACTTTACATCAGTTTTGATTCCGGTTGTGTACCCAAATCAATATGATGTAGGTTATTTATATACATAATATTAATAATTAATAATATATCATACATAATTGTTCTGCATTAGTCAGATACTAATAAATAAGTAACGCTACATTATTTATTAATTTGCTCGTGAATTTCGAACATAATTATTCCTTATCCTCCTCTGTAATCTTTTTTATAATTTAAATGTACATATTATCTTAACAAAAAAGAATGTTTCCTGGATGAAATTTGAAATATAATCAGTACTTGCTATTTTTGTCTATTGATTTTAAATTTAAATCCTACAATTTAAAAGCGTACGTTCTAGGTAGCGAGACTCAGCGATAGAAAGCATCTTCTTTTGATTAATAATGTGACATTATTCGTGAATATTTCAAATATTTCAAATATACCACTATGATTAAATACAATGTACTAAATACAATATACTAAATTAGATAGATCATGGATAGTGGTCAATAGGTTTCTTCTTTTTTTTATTCGTTTCATCCCATATAATTAAGACTACTAAAATATAATTTCATATTTCATATCAAAAATTTTACATGTGAAATAATTCATTATTAAAAGATTCTATCTGTGTTGAGAAAACATTTGCTTTGATTACACGATTAGAAAATCAATTTGAATATTCTTAATATCACATGCCAGATCGAGGTGTATAATTAACGATTACGCTTTTGATTATCCGTTGTCACCAACAGGCGATAAACATCACGTATTTTCAAATCACTCGAACGTCTAATTAACCTCGACTTGTATGATGAACGTAACGTAATCGAACAATATGTATAACCAACTTCGCAACGTGATCAACTTTGAAACTGACATATGTGAAAGCAACAAGAACTCAGTTTCTGTCTCGTATGCAAACGTGACATTAACAACAATAGATTATATTGTAAAGCAACGATCGTAATCGTATATGAAAGTAATATCATGAAAACGAATTAAATATAATAATATTTAATTTGATAGATAACCAATTTACTCTTTCTTTAACTATTCGTAATAATAATTGAAATACAAACGAATAATGCAATGAATAAAATTCAGGTTAATATAATTTTTCCAAAAAATATGCGGTATGTTGGAAATATACACAATTTTGTTATTGTCAGATGAAATTTTCTCTACCAAATATTACAACACAATTTACAATATGCTTCAATAATTGTACGTCGTTTCAAAGTTATTTTGGAGTATTCAAAATATTTCCTTTTCTCTGTTCGCTTTAATAGAAGTAGATCAATAAACACGTAATAAAAATGTCAGAGGATGTCAAAATACGTAGAAAAGTGATATTGATTTACAAATAAACTACGCAAAATGCTCTCCGTGTTTTTTTTTTTTTTTTTTTTTTTGGATAAAAAATTTTTTTTTAATTTTTAAAAAATTTTTTTTTTTAAAAAAAAAAAAAAAAAAAAAAAAAGCGTCAGTTATTTGTTAATAACGAAATGAAACGTGAACGTTCATCGAAATACTCGACGAAAATCGTCGTCGTGTGTGTGAAACTCATCGACGCGGATCTCTGTCGGGAAAAATCGAATAATGCACCATTTGAATATTTCGACGAAGCTGGCAAGTACCTAAAGTCTGCCGAATGATTGGACGCGTTTGACGGATCGATAGGCGAAGGGAAAGGAGAGGTGAACTCGACGATGAAAATTCCGTCGTTACTCCACGACGACGACGACGACGACGACGACACTGTCACGCGACGACAACGATCGGAAAATGGAAAACGGGAATCAATCGCGCTTCCCCGCCGAAGCTTGTTATCTCCGATGAGTTGTTTCTCCTCTCATTTGAATTTATATTGATGACATTGCGAGCGAGTTGGCGCGAAGTTCGCGAGAGGGCAAACGATACTGTTGGGACGCGACTCTGAAGAGAGAGAGAGAGAGAGAAGAGGAATGGGGGTGAATTTATCGAGTCTGTGAAGGTCGACCGCGCGATTCCGTGGATGTTGAATCGAGCCCATTAAGGAAGGAATTAACCGAGGCATTTGATTTCTCGTCTGGCGAAGGTTAGGCCCGTTACTCTGATTTTCTCATTTTTTCGTTGATTGCGGATTGTCGATCGTGGATTACGAATTACATTACGTTTGATTATACGTGTGAAGTGTAATACATGAGATATTGATTATGAAGTATAGTTTAATAGTATAATTAGTAATGTTAATAATAATAAAAATAAAATAATAATAATAATAATAAATGTATAATAATAATAATAATAATAGTATAATTAATAATGTTATATGGTATACTTAAATAATAATTTAATATAACGTTCATTTCAATTATATTTAATAATTAATTCATTGTAATTATATTTATTAATTAAATCATAAAGTATAATAGTCGTGAGTTAGAATTACAGTTTAATTATGTGTAAAGTATGATATATATAATTGATTATAAAGTATAGTGTATTTAATAATTAATTAATTAATAATTATATTTATTAATTAAATTATAAAGTATAATAGTTTCATAGTATAATAGTCATGGATTAGAATTGTAGTTTGATTATGTGTAAGGTATAGTATATAAAATCGATTATAAAGCATTTGATAGTATAATTAATAATATGATATATGGTATACTTAAATAATAATTCAATATAACGTTCATTTCAATTGTATTTAATAATTGAATCATTGTAATTATATTTATTAATTAAATTATAAAGTATAATAGTTTCATAGTATAATAGTCATGGATTAGAATTGTAGTTTGATTATGTGTAAGGTATAGTATATAAAATCGATTATAAAGCATAGTTTGATAGTATAATTAATAACATGATATATGGTATACTTAAATAATAATTTAATATAACGTTCATTTCAATTATATTTAATAATTGAATCACTGTAATTATATTTATTAATTAAATCATAAAGTATAATAGTCGTGAGTTAGAATTATAGTTTAATTATGTGTAAAGTATAACATATATAATCGATTATAAAGTATAGTATTTAATAATTAATTAATTAATAATTATATTTATTAATTAAATTATAAAGTATAATAGTTTCATACTATAACAGTCATGGATTCGAATTGTAGTTTGATTTTGTGTAAGGTATAACATATAAAACTCGATCATAAAACATAGTTTGATAGCATAATTAATAATATGTTATATGGTATATTTAAATAATAATTTAACACAACGTTTATTTCAATTATATTTAAAAAGTTGATTCATTGTAATTAAATTTATTAATTAAATCATAAAGTATAATAGTCGTGAGTTAGAATTACAGTTTAATTATGTGTAAAGTATATTATATATAATCGATTATAAAGTATAGTGTATTTAATAATTAATTAATAATTATATTTATTAATTAAATTATAAAGTTATAATAGTTTAATAGTCATGAATTAGAATTATAGTTTGATTATGTGCAAAGTATAATATATGAAATTGATTATAAAGTATAATAGTTTAATAGTATATTAATACAACAATACAACATAGTATAATAATTACGAATCCCATTTCTATAATTATGATTAACATTTTGAAATCATAATAAATGGCGAATGATATTTATTCAATTCTGTTCAATTTTAAGTCCCTTCTGATATGTGTATTATATTATATTTGAACGAGTATTACAATAAATAAATTATTATCACCAACAAATATTATCCAAATACTGTTACAATCGAACTAACATCGTCACATCGCGTCAAGTCGCAGTCGCAAATAATTCGAAACTTAAAACGACCTCGTCACGTCTTGGCGGTTATCACTTTACGAATTTAACTTCCTGCGCTGGACTTGACGCACGTCGATTCAAAACATTTTCTCCCAAAAGTTGCAGTACTTCCTCAGTTTTCAGTATATTTCAAATAATATGGCAAACGAACAATAAATTGTCTACTTTTCCCAATAATTTCTATCCGTGTTACCGACGTGTTCGAGATGAAGGGCCACTCGTTATGGTCCGCAATTGGCCAATGAATTGAAATTCACCCAGGGTAACCGAATCAATCTGTTTTCAGACGACAGCACCACACACGCGTGCATGATCCGACCTCAACGAGACACCATCGATCGGCGAGGATCAAGACGCAGATGCCACCATCGATCCCTATCGTCGTCTAGAGGCAAAGAATCGCTGAAGCCACTCTCCCTGAGCGATGATCGGCTCGTCGTTGCCGGCGATCGATCGCGCGGATCCTTACGAGGCCGTGGTCGACACCTGTTACGAGGACCTTCTGCTGTTCGCCAACGAAACTGGCGCGCTCTGCGAAGGTTCGCGTGGGTTCCCCGTGCCCGGTATACTGAACGACACCGATTTCGAGGCCGAGCCGGCGAACGGTACGAGCACCGACGTGGACGTCGACGGCCTTAACAACTGGTGGGCGATGCTGGCATTGGTCCTGGTTTTGGGCACCGCCGCCGGCAACATACTCGTCTGCCTGGCTATTGCCAGGGAGAGGAGGCTTCAGAACGTCACCAATTACTTCCTGATGAGCCTGGCGATCACGGACCTGTTGGTCGCCGTGCTGGTGATGCCCCTTGGGATTCTCACGTTGGTCAGAGGTGAGTGTGTGTTGTTCCTTTTTTTTTTTTTTAATTGGCGATGAAATTATAACTAGGAGAGAAATTTTTAACTAGGGGGGAAATTATATTTTCTAATGTTACAATATTATTTTACAACGTTAAACGTGAAATTAATGTTTGATGAAATTTCATTATACTTAATTATTTTAATATATTTGTATTTAATATTAATTCTTATATTTTATATATATATATATATATATATATATATATATAATATTTAAATAGTTTATATATTGAAAATATTAATGAAATTAAAAATTTTTTTTATATTGAGAATATAATGTTTTAAATGAACTGTATATTTAGAAATAAAGATATTTATATTTAATTATAACGTTAGAAGCTTTAGTTTTTTATTTCAGGTTGAATTAGAATTTTTATTCAATAATTTTATTAACAATAAAATGCCTCAGTCTTATCTCATTGCAACTGAGTGATCATTGTTACTAAATGATTTAAACAGTATTTGTTTAATTATTCGAATATTTACCAGAAAAGAACTTTTATATTATACATTATTACAATATACATATATATATTTTTTATTACTATGTTTTTATATATTTATAAAATATATATATTTTTTATTATTATATTTAATATACATTTAATGGAAACTTAATATATAATACGATTGGCTATCTCAAGTTTATAAATGTAGTTAAATATTAATAAAACCTGTTGATTTTGTTTCAATATTTTTGTATGCAACACCTAGGTAATTTTAAATATTTACTACGTTATTATTTTTATTTTTATCTCAAAGTATCTATAATTTTCAAATTTGTTTCAAACATGATCAATGTAATCGTAATACCATAGTCTCGCTCTCTCTCTTTCTAAAGAAGTATTAATGAAATATTTTACATAGCAAACAGAAATATATAAATATAAAGATACATAAAATATATAAATATAAAGCAGAAATATAAAGATACATAAAATATATAAATATAAAGCAGAAATATAAAGATACATAAAATATATAAATATAAAGCAGAAATATAAAGATACATAAAATATATAAATATAAAGCAGAAATATAAAGATACATAAAATATATAAATATAAAGCAGAAATATAAAGATACATAAAATATATAAATATAAAGCAGAAATATATAAATATAAAAATACATAAAATATATAAATATATAAATATATAAATATATAAATATATAAATATATAAATATATAAATATAAAGATACATAAATTATATAAATATAAAGTAGAAATATAAAGATACATAAAATATATAAATATAAAGCAGAAATATAAAGATACATAAAATATATAAATATAAAGATACATAAAATATATAAATATAAAGCAGAAATATATAAATATAAAGCAGAAATATATAAATATAAAGATACATAAAATATATAAACATAAAAAAAGTGTAAGAAATGTAAATAATAATTTCCTACATTCGTACAACAAACAAATATGTACAGTACACAAATGGATACAAAATTTCCTCTAAATATAATATAAAAAAGAAAGCTGTTTTATACGACGTAACACGCGATATGTTCACAGAAAAATTCCTAAAAAGAAAAATCTTTAAAAAACATATAAAGAATGTTCGAACAGTCTCGTGATTCTTCCACGGTCATCTCGGTTTCGAAATTCTGAAATACGTTTCACCACAAATGAAACACGTTGTACTCCGATGGTACCTACGTGATTATGTTTGCTTATAGACACGTTATTCGTTTATCTTCGGCAGGTATATCGACGTATCGTAAACAAACAGCGTAGCGCTGGTAATCAATGGCTCTAACAACCGCGCAACTGTTAGATCCAGATCTTCGGCAAAGTTTTACACGGCGGATCTGTTGTTAAATAGAACAATGTAGGCGGAAATCCGGAAATGCTGACCAATTTCCACTTGGCACTGATTTGTTGGCTATTTGCTAGCTCGCCCTTGATCCATTATCGGTCACGCTCAATGATTATTGCAGGATAAACGTTCGTAACTTGACGATGTCAGCGAGTTGAATTGTTATTTAAGATAGATAACGAGAGATAAAATAATATTCTAATTAAATGTTACAGTAATATTTTTATATTATTTTATAATAAATGATAAATAATATTTCAATATTTTGAAATAACGTTCTAAAACAAATGTCAGTGAAGGTTGATTTTTATCAATTTTATACTGAACTGAATTGATAAAGATAAATGTTCCAATTAAATGTTAAACAATAATGTTAGCGAAGGTTCATTTTATCAGTTTTAGAGTGAACTGAAGAGAAACGTTGTAATTAAGCGTCGAACAATTAATTTTATCAGTTTATGTAATTGAATTAATCGTAGATAAAAATTATAGTTGAATAATAAAATTGATGAAGTTTAATTTTATTATTGGGAACTTCCATGTGTTTATGGGAAATTTTAGAACGCAGAAAATGTTCAAAATGTATATAATGCTTTCTATAAAAATTGAAGACATGATCTAATAAAATAAATTTAATAGAAATGAAGGAACACAAACTAATTTTTCATCAAAAAATTTTATTTTTTAAATCATTTTTATTTTAAAATCACAAACTATGCGCAAATATCGACGTTCTGTTTGCTCGTTCTGCATTAGGTAATTAAAATTCGCACCAGATTAAATAATAATTTTAATCAGAACGGATGATTTCACGTTTTAATTTTGGAAGATTAGTGGAAGTTTTTCGTTTTGAAATACAGTACTGAGTGATAACAGTACAAGATTATTAAATTTAAGAGTATTTACAAAAATCAGGATTGATTATCAGTGTCAAATATAAAATCAAACCGTACAATTAAATTTATGGTATCGGGAACATCTGTGTTTTACTGATTCGTCGAATACAAATTGAATAATAAATTCATAAATATATAAATACAGCCAATTTTAATACGTGACATATTTTCCGAATCACGACACTGTCCATACTATCTTTAGCAATAAATTACATACTTTCACATTGTCTACGAATCATAAATCTTGCATAATGCGAAATTCGTACGGCGTACGAATTTATCACTCGCGATACACATTATTATAGGAATGCTGGAAAGGAAAATTTGACGTAAAATATTGTAGGCATAATTTACTGGTGTTTGCCATGAAATTTAAATTTTTAGCGCGAGATATTCAAAAATTTGCAAAAACAAGAAATTTCTAATCCGGAGCATTTAGTTTTCTAGTTAGAGCGTTTGCATACTTTATTTAGCGTTTTGCATTAGAAATTTACATTTTAAAATTGGAGTCGTACAATAAGAGGCAACAGTTTAAAATTACATATCTCAATTTAAAATACATACATATTATAATAGCTGTAGATGTTCATGCAGTAACGTGATTAATAAAGTAAAAATCTACATCCGTTACTAAATAAATAATTACAGCGACGAATCTTCACGCATTTTTAAATTGTTATCAGCAAGACTGTCAATTACATAGACTATAATGTTACAGTAAATACTCTGTTGTGTATTTTCTCAGTTTTAAGTATATTTATTATATAATTATTATATTTATTATATTATAATCCTTCATTATATAATTATTATATTTATTATATTATATTATAATCAGTTTTAAATATATTTTATATTATATATATTTATTATATAATTATTATATTTATTATATTATAATATAATATAATATTGTATTTATTATATTATATTATAATCAGTTTCAAGTATATTTATTATATAATTATTATATTTATTATATTATATTATAATCCTTTATTACATAATTATTATATTTATTATATTATATTATAATCCTTGATTATATAATTATTATATTTATTATATTATAACCCTTTGTTATATAATTATTATATTTATTATATTATAACCCTTTGTTATACAATTATTATATTTATTATATTATATTATAATCAGTTTTAAATATATTTTTAAATATATTTTAAATATATTATAATCAGTTTTAAATATATTTTAAATATATTATAATTAGTTTTAAATATATTTTATATTATATATATTTATTATATAATTATTATATTTATTATATTATGTTATAATCCGTTTTAAATATATTTATTATATAATTATTATATTTACTATATTATAATATAATATTATATTACATTACATTAAAACAAACCCACGAGTTCAAAGAGAAAGCTGTACGAATTACTGTATAACGGTTCGGTCGCTCGTTACGGTCCGCAATCAGCTGCCAGCGCAAGTGGTTGTTAAATGCATCCACGCTGAAGATCCGCGGCCTTATTGTACAACACCGTCGTCGCCGCATCCGACATTTTATCACCAACAAATAAAGTGAATATCCGAATTTCGTGAATCCATCCCATAATGATCCGCTCAATTTCCACCAAGGTCAAATTGTTGCTCGTTGAATCGCCGCTATTCGGAAACTGTTTCAATTAAATCATTCAGAGTTCGAGCGGCGTGTTGTGAAATGCTGTTGCAAGCATCCGCAAACATGGTTTATCCGCAAAACCGTGAGAGTTGGATGCCAATGGCACCGGTCCAAGATTATCTATTTCGAGAGATGGTTTTCGACGTACCGAAAATGCCTGGACGACCTTCGTCGACAATCCCCTTTTCCCCTGAACTTCGCCACTTTGGACCAGCTATCGAGCGGTGTCGTGCACTTGCACCGAGGCTCCGACCCTCGGATTTTTCAAACGTAATCAAACGTAAACCGGTTTATTTCAATTTCCCGGTTTACCTTGCCGAGACTTATGCTTACTGAGCTGGCACGGTCCTCGGAATGTGATTTATAAAGATTGAACCGCTTACGCTGGAATGACAAGAACTTCTTGTCCCAAAATTGCAATATTTTCACAGTTTCTTCAGTTCAGTATATACTTAAGTATCACCCGGGCGAAACAAATAATAAATTTGTCACTTCTCAGTAATTTTGTCCAACGAGTTTAAAAAAGGAAAGCGGCCGAATTATTGTACACGGTTCAGTCACTCGTTATGGTCCGCAGTCACTTGCCTAGCGCGGAAAGGTCTCACAACTTTTTTTCAAAATTTCCACGCAACTGTGCGTGATGTCAGACGAAGATAATAAATAGGAGAACGTCTGAACGTTGCTTTGTATAATAGTTTGAGTCGAGTTTCACTTTCTCGGTGAAAGAAACCGAGACTATATATAAAGATAATAATATGATATAATAATATAATTATATAGTTATGTAATATAATAATATATAATAATATAATATATGATAATAATATAATATAATAATATAATTATATAGCTATGTAATATAATTATATATAAAGATAATAATATAATATAATAATATAATTATATAGCTATGTAATATAATTATATATAAAGATAATAATATAATATAATAATATAATTATATAGCTATGTAATATAATTATATATAAAGATAATAATATAATATAATAATATAATTATATAGTTATGTAATATAATATAATAATGTAGTTAATAATAATATAATATAATTATATAATTATATAGTTAACATATAATTATATATATAATAATATAATATATAGCTAATATAATATAATAATATAATATATAGCTAATATAATATAATAATATAATGATATAGCTATGTAATATATAAAGATAATAATGCAATATAATAATATAATTATATCTATAGACAATAATACAATATATATAATTATTCGTAATATTATTGTCTATACTTAACGTTTTCATAATGTTATGCACGGTTATAATTCAAATGTACATTTCATATTTTTAAGAATAACTTCTTCTACTTCTCTACAATCCACCCTTGTAAAATAATTTATTAAACTTCCGCCGTATAATACTATTCTTTTGCAAATTAAATTTACACCGCATCCACTACCATACGAATATTAACGATTTTATTTTATTTTTTTTCTTTCTTTGTTTCTTAAGAAAAATTCCCAGCAACGAGCGAATGCGAATAATTTTCAGGGAACGGCCGGTGAATAAGGTCAACTTGAAACAGCGATAACCGTTTCGCCGGCGAACGAAACTACACGGACAGACAGACAGACGTTCAAACAAGTTTTCCGAATCAATTATCTGTTGAGCGCAGGTTGAATAAAATTTTCGTTCGATCTCTCTCACGGCGCACAAAGCCCATTCCTCCTCTCCCCCCTTCCCGCCGCCTTTCCGGAAGTTAAAGAGTTCACGGAAGCCAAAGTTGAAACGTTTTGTTGCCCCGGCGAATGCCAGGTTACGGTTGAAGTCTATTTAATTGAGTTAACTCCGATGAGTTAGAAATATTTGTTGCTGTTTGCCCGTTAACCGGCGGAAGACCTTTTGTTCCTTTGTTTGTCGATCTCCCAGCTTCCGAGGTCTGTCGCGTCATTTTTTTTTCTTAGGAGAGCAACTTATTAAACGTCAAAAAGTTGGTCAGAAGGAAAAATTACAATTACATACTTTATTTGGTGTTTTATATATGAAAAATTTACATTTTACAATATTTAATATTTTAAGTTTTATTTAATATTTAACGTTTTGAATTTTATTTAATATTTAATGCCTTAAATTTTCTTTAATATTTAATACTTTAAATTTTCTTTAATATTTTAAATTTTATTTAATATTTAATATTTTAAATTTTATTTAATATTTAATATTTTAAATTTTATTCAATATTTAATATTTTAAATTTTATTTAATATTTAATACTTTATATTTTTAATATTTAATATTTCTTTATTTATTTAATATTTAATACTTTAATACTAATTTTATTTAAATTTTATTTAATATTTAGTATTTTAAATTTTACTTAATATTTTAAATTTTAATATTTAATATTTATTTAATTATTTATTTAATATTTAAAATTTTATTTAATATTTAATATTTAAAATTTTATTTAATATTTAATATTTAAAATTTAATTTAATATTTAATATTTAAAATTTTATTTAATATTTAATATTTAAAAAAATTTAATTTAATATTTAATATTTAATATTTAAAATTTTATTTAATATTTAATATTTAATATTTAAAATTTTATTTAATATTTAATATTTAATATTTTAAGTTTTATTTAATATTTAATATTTTATTTAATATTTAATATTTTATCCATTTTAGAGTTGGAAATGTAAATTGATTTCTAAAAGAGGTGACGCGATGTTTTGGAAAATAGAAAGTCTGTCAGAAGAAATTATATTTGATGGATTTAATTAATGATTAGAATTGTAGATTAATAAGTTAGAATTGTCTTAATGAATTTATTAACGATATTATCGTTATAGAAAGTTACACGTATAAATTTGTACAATTTGTATAAATTATAGAAAATTTCTTGGTTATTTAAAAATATCAGTTAGTTAAATCGTGCATTTATGCAAAATTATACGTACAATTGTCATTATAATAATATTACAGTTAGTGTTACATATTATATATAAATTATATATTCTAAATATATTATATATATTCTGTATAATTATAATTTATATATTACATATAATTATAAATTATATATTAGAAATATATTATATATAAATTATATATAATTTAATATATTATGTATAATTATTGTTACATAAGTGTGACTTGCAGAAAAGTTACGTCTTATCGTACTTGTGACAAAATATATTCGCACAAGTTTCCCGAAATAAAAAAGTGGCCCGATTCATTAATCAAGCTTACCGCGTTTTAAAACACAGCGATTCTACCGGCGCGAATTTTCATCGTTAAGACGAACGAACGAATTATCTGCTGGTACACAGTCGCCGCGTCCCGACGAGTCTCACTTTTTACTTTTTTTAAGAATAGACGATCCCCGCGCTTTTAAATGGTATTACACCGCGTTTCCGCGCGAGCAATTGCCACCGGCGATTGCACGTTTCCCGCAATCCTCCGCGCCGGTTGATCCATTATGTATAAGAAAGCTTGGCCAACGACGAACGACCTTCGGTTTTTCCACCTATCACGCGAGAAAAAGCGATCACCCGTCGACGAACTATAGGGAACAGTTCTGAAACTGTTGCGTCCAAAGTGATTGGGTTTTATATGTATATATATATATATTTCTTTTTTTCTCGATGATATTTCGAAGAAGGAAAAACGAAGTCATAATTTCATTGTATCGTATAATTATATTATATTTATTCTAATTATATTATTATAATATATATAATATAATATGATTATAATTGTAATTCTAATATAAATTTATATTAATATACTATAATAATGTAATAATAATGTTATAAAATTATACTAATATAATTATAATATATATAATATAATGTGATTGCCATTATAATTATATTATTATTACAATATAAATTTACATTATATATTATAATAATCATTATAATTATAATTATAATATAATATATGCTACATAATATAATTACAATTATAATTTAATGTAAATTTATATAAATTATAATTATATTATTATAATATATGTAATATAGTATAATTACAATTACAATTATAATATAAATTTATATTACATTTTATAATTATATTATTATTGCAATATAAATTTATATCATATATTATAATAATCATTATAATTAGAATTATATTATTATAATATACTATATAATAATTACATCACATGTAATAATATATAATACATAATAATTATTATAAATAATAATTAAATAATTCATTTCCGCACGTTATAGCACGTTATAATACATAATAATTATTACAAATAATAATTTAATAATTCATTTTCGCACGTTATAGCTAGAAAAAGAGACTCCTAGCATCATTCGCTTAATATTTCCTCACTGATCTGAATCAGAATCTAATAATTTCGCGAAATGTAAAACCACTGAACTTTCCAACATGGTGGCAAGCTTTTTTAAATATTTCCATCGTTTTTAATATTTTTAATGTTCCTTGGTCCTCGACGAATTAATAACCAAATGGGTCGTGTAAACAGGTAAATGTAAAAACGATGAATTTTTTAAATATTGCTTGATGAATTAATGGTTTAATTAAATAGTATTTAATTAATAGATCATCTCCTCTTAGGAGAATGATCTGTTTTATGAAATATCGATCGGCGAACGTGTTGCACGGACTGCTGAAACTGAATACAAACGATGTACACGGTAGCGTTGTTAAAACATTCAGTCGGAACAAGCTGGGAAAGTGGGTGAAAAATGGGCGACTCGAGGAATCGAGGATGCTACAAATTGGCCACTTACGTTTTCCCCGACAATTCCGCCGGCATTACTCTCTCTCACGAACGTGTACGGCAATTTTGGCCGAGCTCGGACGGATGCGCCATTCGTCTCTCCAGTTCCTTGCTTGTTTTCCGCGCCGAGAACGCGATCCACCGGTATTTTCTTATCCAGCTTTAACCTTCGTCTAATGGATTCTGTGTCCATTCGAACTGAACGCGAACAGAATTGGGAAGCTAGTGGCCCAGGCAGAGATTCGTTTCAACCTTTGGACGTTATACATTTTGAACATTATCGATAACGATGTCGTGCATCATATGTGTTCTACATATTGAGATGAAAATATCTGCAACACACTTCGTGCATTTTTCGTGTAATTTTGTTATTTTTACAAAATTCCCCAATTGGAATAATTACCGAGGGCTAGAAGAATCAACGAATCTGTCTGAAAAGACAAAATTAATTGCTAAATCATACGTGGATTCATCTGTCTTCGACTATCATGCAATTAAAAATGAAGGGAGGAAAGTCAACAAATTCATTTTTATACTCTACACATCAAAAGTGCATTTTTTCCTTCGATAATTACAAATCAGAAAGCATTGTCAAAAAAACCAAAAATAATATAGTATAGTAAAATAATATATGTGATGAACTAAATATAATATATAATATACAGTATAATATAATACAAAAATATGATACAATAATAATATATAATTTTATATAATAGACAATAATAATGTAATTGTGTCTAATTAATAATTTATTGTACAAATAATTGTGTACAACAGAATTATAATATAGTAATATAATACTACTAGTTTATTATTAATTATATCAATAGTATAGTGACGTAATAAAATATAAAATAGAATATAATATAATTCTGCCTGAAAAGACAAAATTAATTGCTAAATGGATTCATCTGTCTTCGACTATTATAAAATAATTAAATATGGAAGGAAAAAAGGCAACAAATTAATTTTTATACTCTACATATCAAAAGTGCATTTTTTCTTCGATAATTATAAATCAGAAAGCATTGAGTGTCAAAGAAGACCAAAAATAATATAGTATAGTAAAATAATATATGTAATGAACTAAATATAATATATAATATATAGTATAATATAATATAGAATATAATAATATTATATACTATTATACTATTATTATTAATATACTCTTATTATACTATTATGTATTATAATAATAGTATATAATAGACAATATACATATAATAATAGTATATAATAGACAATAACAATACAATGTGTCTAATTAATAATTTATTGTACAAATAATTGTGTACAACAGAATTATAATATAGTAATATAATACTACTAGTTTATTATTAATTATATCAATAGTATAGTGACGTAATAAAATATAAAATAGAATATAATATAATTCTGCCTGAAAAGACAAAATTAATTGCTAAATGGATTCATCTGTCTTCGACTATTATAAAATAATTAAATATGGAAGGAAAAAAGGCAATAAATTAATTTTTATACTCTACACATCAAAAGTGCATTTTTTCTTCGATAATTATAAATCAGAAAGCATTGAGTGTCAAAGAAGACCAAAAATAATATAGTATAGTAAAATAATATATGTAATGAACTAAATATAATATATAATATATAGTATAATATAATATA